AAGCAATTATGAAAATTTTTGCATTTAGATACAGAAGAACTTTGCCTGTTTAATACAAAAAAAAAACTAATTAACAAACAGAAAATCTGGATCTCCATGTCTGCCATGCAAATCAACTGTTCCTGCTCGTCCCCAGACTGGATCTCTTCTCTTCACTTCCCCATGGGGTCAAACCGTAACACCGTGTGTCCCAACCAGGCGCGACACGATAAAAAGTGTCGTTTCCATGTAGTTTTTGTCCTAACCACCCGCGACAGCAACTCGGGTTTCTATTTTTGATACAAAATATGACAGTGATAATCTCAGGTAATAATTATGTGCTTTATTCAATGTTAAAAGTGTCTAATGGGAGTTTGAATATTATTTTGCGTTATCTTTATAGCCATAGTGAAAGCAACAATAGATATTTACCTCAGATCTTAAGTAAACTTGTGGTATGTTAAAACTGTGAACTCACTGCGAACCAACACCTGTATTCCATAAAAGAGATGGTATCAGTCAGTCACTCACTCAAAACTGCTCAGTCCATTCACATTATCATCTATTTTCCGTGTCCACTTTTCTTTTCTTCTCACTCGCCATGTTTTTGCTGTCACATCGTATCTACACTGGACGCGACAAAGCATTGCAAATCATTTGAACTTTGTTTCAGTTCGTCATAAATAGAACGAGGCAGCAGTTTACTGTTGGGGGATATGTCACACCGCTCTGCATCCAGTGTTGACAGCATCACTGATTATAATGGGTTCTATTGTATTTTGTTGCATTGCGCCGCGCAGCTCGCGTCCGGTGTAGACACGATGTAAGTTAATGTCACTTTCTGATGCTGCGTTTGAATTTTCATGCCACGTTATTTGACATTAGCGCAGGCCAAACATTTTTCTCTCACGGGCCGGATGTGGCTGAACTTTGTTTCAGTTCGTCATAAATAGAACGAGGCAGCAGTTTACTGTTGGGGGATATGTCACACCGCTCTGCATCCAGTGTTGACAGCATCACTGATTATAATGGGTTCTATTGTATTTTGTTGCATTGCGCCGCGCAGCTCGCGTCCGGTGTAGACACGATGTAAGTTAATGTCACTTTCTGATGCTGCGTTTGAATTTTCATGCCACGTTATTTGACATTAGCGCAGGCCAAACATTTTTCTCTCACGGGCCGGATGTGGCCTGTGGGCCGCCTATTGAGGAACACTGTTATAAAATATCTACAAAAAAAGCATCTACCAACAGAGAGTCACAGAGGGACAATGTTAACCCCATGGCCAAGCTTCACCAAAAATGGTTTTCAACATGTTTTGTCAACACTCTAGCCATCTGCCACCAATTATTTATTCAGATTGCGCCATTATAGTCTTGCACAACTGTGATAAACAGCCGTATTTTCGTTCTCTCCTGTTCTCTTTTTT